ATAGTAACAAGACTAAGCGAAACGAAGCGAAGAAGTAATAGTATCAGTATCATTATTACATACATACTGATATATCTCTACATATAGATACATACATAGATACATACATACATACATATATACAAACATACATACAAACACACAAACATACATACACACACATCACTTACATCGATAAATTTTGAGAATGCCATAGTTACACAAATTAAATGGTCATGAAAGACACGCGTACCATACTTTATTTTTCCATTCATTTGTTCGTTCCATTCATTCATTCATTCTTTCATTCTTTCGTTCGTTCGTTCGTTCATCTATTTGTTCGTTCGTTCATCTATTTGTTCGTTCGTTCGTTCGTTCGCCTATTCGCTTGTTCGTTTTTTGAGATTGCATGTTTGTGTGTATGTGTAATAAAAATTATTGAGACCATTTAACCTTGTCTAGAATAATTTTCAACATATACCAAAATGGAATAATAATAATAAAATTAATAATAATAATATTAATAACAATAATTATTATTATTATATTAATAATAATTAATAATAATTATTATTATTATAATTATGATTATAATTATATTTTTATTATAACGGATGGGACGCTTAAAGAGAAACCCTTGAATGATGTTTGCTGTGCCATTGTGAACATCGACGCCGTTCTAAAGTTGTTTGGTGATGATGATGATCATGTTGATGATGATGATAATGATGAGGATGATGATGATGATGATGCAGATGATGGCGGTGATGATGATCATGTTGATGATGATAATGATGATAATGATGATCATGTTGATGATGATGATGATGCGGATGATGGCGGTGATGATGATCATGTTGATGATGATGCGGATGATGGCGGTGATGATGATCAAGTTGATGATGATAATGATGATCATGTTGATGATGATAATGATGATCATGTTGATGATAATGATGATGATGTGGATGATGATGATAATGTTGATAATGATGATGATGATGATGGCGGTAATGATGATGTGGATGATGATGTT